GTATTCCCCAGGGACCTCAAAAAAGCCTCCTCCTCCTGTGCGTTACCCAGGTTTCACGTGGCAGGAGCAGAGAATTTCTCCCTCAGGCTGCTGCTGCACACACCTTCCTCCAGCGGCAGCTGTCTGTCTGTATCTGTATTTGTCTTCAACGCCTTATGAGATGGGAAAGTGATAAGCAAAGCAGTTCCTTCAGGAAGCCGGCTCTTGACGGGGATAGCTGGCAGTTTCACAGCGGGTAACGTTGTCAAACGTAAGAAAGGTTAACAGAAAATAGACATTTCAGCTGAAATAGCAGCACTAGAATCCTTTTCAGTGGGTCTCCGTAACAACTTGTGTTTCCGCCTCCCATTAAAATGAGAGTATGTCACTAGTTTTTCAGCGGACATTTAGTGGGTGCTTTCCTCAGCTGCCTTCTGTATCCTTTGTATTTAAAATTATATACTTGGAATTGAATTTAAAGGGGAAAAGGAGGTGAAACCCAAGAAGCTCTCAGCTTTGTTACTTTGTCTTCCTGTGCTTTCAGGCAGTTTGTGTTTCCAACCGTACACAGGTAAATGCTGGAGCAGGGAGGAAGGATGCTGCCGTGAGAGCGCACAGCTCCACAGAGATCTAACAAGAGCAATAGGTGTCTGCTGCAAGTACACATAAACAAAACCATCTGAATAATCCACAGGGAAGCAGGCGAGGAAATGTGGTGTCTGGTGCCCACCGCCCCTGGGCCTGCAGGCTGCCGTGAGACCCTGCAGCCCAGAGAGTCTGCTGATGGACTTCCCACTACATCACACTGACCGTGCTGCAGTGGCTCTGCTGGAGCCCCACCAGTGCTGGACCACAAGAGCAGGCGATGCTCCAAGGGCCCCACCTGCTGCATGGACCCGTGGCCTCAGACCCAAAATCCACCTTCTGCCAAGCTTTTGGTTTGGCATCAGCCCCTGCCCCACACCCGGGTTCAGGCTGCAGAAAGAGCCTTTGGGAGCAGGGAAACTTCCCAGCACAAAGCCTCATGGATTCAGTGCTCTCAGCAACAGGGAGCAACCTCCAGCACAGAACCCATCACCCGGGCTCAGGCCTTCAGATAGGAGACCCACGGCATGAGCAGTGATCTGCTAACCTGATTCCTGGGAAAAGGGGTTGGAAACTCTCGGAAGATGAAAACATAATGAACAAATAACCTTCAGTACCCAGCGCTGCAAGACCCACGGCTCCCCTTTGTGTTGACGGCCTGTTATTAATGGTCCTGTCAGGCCTCCTAATGAACTTTGTGCTTCATGTGGGAATGTGGGGTTTGCCCAAGAGCGCAGTCAAGAGCTTGTTTTCATTTATTTACTGTATTATGCAAGAAAGTTCTTACACTCTGAACCCAAGAAACTGCATTTCTGTGTTTTTCTCACGTCTCCACGTCCATGTAGTGCTACTGGGGTTTGAAACAGAACTGTTCCTTCAGGAAAATGCTTGCTGCACCCAGCGAGGGCAAATCATTTGTTATTTCAAGGCTCTTCCATCACCACTGACACCACAGCAAAGAATCTCAAACATTTCCTCAGACAAGCAGCTTAGTCAGAGTGAAGCTGCAGCGGAGCATCAGCACAGAGCATCAACCCAGAGCATCAGCCCAGAGCATCAACCCAGAGCATCAGCCCAGAGCATCAGCACAGAGCAACAGCACAGAGCACCAGCACAGAGCACCAGCACAGAGCATCAGCACAGAGCACCAGCACAGAGCATCAGCCCAGAGCATCAACCCAGAGCATCAGCCCAGAGCATCAACCCAGAGCATCAGCACAGAGCAACAGCACAGAGCACCAGCACAGAGCACCAGCACAGAGCATCAGCACAGAGCACCAGCACAGAGCATCAGCACAGAGCATCAACCCAGAGCATCAACCCAGAGCATCAGCCCAGAGCATCAACCCAGAGCATCAACCCAGAGCATCAGCCCAGAGCATCAACCCAGAGCATCAACCCAGAGCATCAGCCCAGAGCATCAGCCCAGAGCATCAACCCAGAGCATCAGCCCAGAGCATCAACCCAGAGCATCAACCCAGAGCATCAGCCCAGAGCATCAACCCAGAGCACCAGCACAGAGCATCAGCCCAGAGCATCAACCCAGAGCATCAGCCCAGAGCATCAGCACAGAGCATCAGCACAGAGCACCAGCACAGAGCATCAGCACAGAGCATCAGCCCAGAGCATCAACCCAGAGCATCAACCCAGAGCATCAGCACAGAGCATCAGCACAGAGCATCAGCACAGAGCATCGCCACTTCTCAAAGCCAGCTTCTGTTTGGTGACACGGAGAACATGGAGGTAAACACAAAGTTAATACACTGCCAGACCAGCCCCTCGCCCTGGAGATGGAACAAAACACCTTTGGGAAGGTGCTGTTTCCAGCCAAGCTGCTCCCCACAGAGGTGGCACCTATGGGAACAGGGTCCCCAGCACCAAACTACCACCTGTACTGCTTTAAGAAGTGCCTCTGTGGCATGTCACACTGTTAACATATCAGCTTTTCTGAGTCAAGCAAGCCCAACAGCTTCATGTTCAGGCAGTTGCCCCTGAGTCCCAGCAAGCAGCTGAGACCTGCAGCCCTGTTCACCCGGACCGTCCCTCGGAACCCAGCAGGGGCAGATGCTGGGACGACGTCCTCCCTAAACCAGCAAAAAAACCCCAACAATAAAACCACGTATGGAGTTGCCAGCTATTCCACTGCCTGCAGCAGCTTCGCCTCCCCACCAGCATCCCCGACCCATAGACAAGCTCCCCATGCTCCTCTGCCTGCTTGATGGGCTGCTGGGGAGTGAAAATGAGGGCAAAAGAGTCATCCTTGTCATCCAGACAAGGAACATGGGAATGTCACCAAAGGAAACTTGGGGTAATCCGTTAAGAAGGCTTTAGTTAGAAAGGGAATATTCAGGTGTTACCCAGCAGCACGGAGCCCCTACTCACACGCCTTTATCAAGCACAGCCAGAGGTTAACTCTGTTGGAAGGTTTAACCAGTGCCATTATGTGAAACAGAAATAAAACCTCTCGGAACCAGCTCTGCCTCAAGATCTCCTTTCCTTTCCCCATCAATGGAGAAGCCAGATGACCCATCAGACCCGCCACACGCCAGGGGGTGTGAAGCCCATCCACGTCCCCATGCACTGCTGGGGCGAGCGGGACAAGCCCATGGGTGCAGCAGCCAAATTACACGTTACAAACCCCAGCGAGCAGCTTGGCTCCGGTGGGCACCGCGATGGAGGGTGCTGAGCCCACAGCCCACGCCGGGCGCCAGGACAGCTTCCCCATATGCAAGTAAAAATAGGAAGACATAAATTAGGCACAACAGGCGTAGGAAGAGCCCGGCAGAGGAAACCCGACGGATCCCAGCAAGACGTGGAATATCTGCGCTCGTGAGGGAATGACCTTCAAAACTCATTCACCGCTCGCAGCCTGCGCCGTGACGGCTTTTCTCACTTGCCACCACATCATCCATTCCTCCTCGGTACACTTTAATTCTGCACAGACTATAAATACTTGCCTCATAGGGCAGGAATAGAAAACAAATATTTAAGTGAGGTAACCTTGCTTGTGAGGGTGCTCCATTGTACCTTGGGCCATGCACGCTCTACAGCAGCATTCACTGTTTACTGCGCTGAACATAAAAGAAGGCACTGAAATACGTGCTCAAGTAGTATTTTCTCTTAAAGAGAAAGAAAGACACACAAGATGACGACAGCTCCTTGGAAAATTATCTTAAGGACAGAAAATCCAGATTTTTCTTAACTGCATTGCCCACACTTTCCCTTCCAAATTACGGGTTTCTGGTTAATTTGTACTAAAAGCAGCCTCTGAGAGGTTAATGAGTTTTCCTCACGCAGAATAAGGCCGGTCGCCGTTACAGGTACCTACCGGGTCACACTTTACAGCCCAAGGGGAGGTGAAGGGGGACTTGCGGCTTTGGCCACCACCCCCCTCTCGCCCCCCGCCATCACTTGCCCAAATCATCGTATTTACCCATTTTGGGCTATTTAAGCAAAAAAGCCGGTCCCATCCAGCCCCCTCTTCCCCCCCCCCGTCCTGTCCCCCCCCCCCGCACCATCCGGTCACGGTTCCCAGGCACAAGTGCTTGGAGCGTGTCACCGCACCGGCGCGACCGCTCCGCAGCCGCGGGACAGGATGCAACGGGGGCCGCGGGGCTGGGGGGGCCACACGGGACGGGACCTGCTGCTGCCGGTGCCGCGCGAGTCGCCTTCACCCAAAACTCTGCCCTGGACCCTCCGCTGCCACGGGCCGGGCTGAAGGCAGCCGGTACCGGCGGCGGTACCCGCAGGGGCTGCAGCGCCGGGACCGGCCGGAGCCCGGGCGCTCCTCTCCGCCACCGAGGCCCCGTCACTGCCGCGGAGGCGGGGAGCGCGGTTTGCCGGGTTATAGGAATCCCACATCCCACGGTCCCTGCGCGCCGAGCCACGGTCCCCGGCAGCGAACGGCAGCGACCGGGCGGGAGGCGGCCCCGGGTCCCGGTCCTGCTCCCGATCCCGGTCGATGAGCCCCGTTCCCGCCGCTCTGCACCGTTACGGAGCCCAACCGCTCCTTAGAGCAGAGCCAGGCGCTACCGGGGGCGGCGGGGGCCGGGGAGCGCCCACCCCAGCTCAGGGCACCCCCGGTGCATCCCTGCCCGGGGGCACTTTACTTCGCACCGAAGTCCTCCTCCTCCTCCTCCTCCCCTCCATGCAGCCGGCTGAGGGGGGGAAGCACCGCGCCGGGGCTGCCCCCGCTCCGCTGCTCTCCGGGGAGGGCGGGCGGCTCCCCGCGCCATCCCCGCACTCCACCGCTCTGGGGGGGGCTCAGCCCCGGGGTTCCGCTCCCGCAACCACGCTCCGGTCCCTGGCGGAGCTGCGGGAGCGGGGGCTGCCTTTGTTCGCGGCGGCGGGGCAGGACCGGGCCCCCCACCGCCGCTCCCTTTGTCCGCCGGGGCCCCCCCCGGTGCGGGGCCGTCCCTCCCCGCGCCGCCGCTGACCTGGATGGTGCAGGTGTACTCGCTGTCGTCCAGCAGCCGCACGGTGCAGTTGTACTCGCGGTCCAGGTTCCTGCTGCTGCCACTCATCCACCTGCTCAGCATCTTCCCGAGCCGGGCGGCGGGCGCTGCCGCGGAGCCTCCGCTCACATCCCCGCTGCCGGCGCGGCGCGGTGCGGTGCGGAGCGGTGCGGAGCGGTGCGGAGCGGCGGGGCCCGCCCCCCCCACCCCCCGTACCCCGCGCCCGCCTCGGTCCGGCCCTGCCCTGTCCCCGCTGCGGGCCGAGCGGCGCGGAGCAGCGCGGAGCGGAGCGCAGTGCCCGTGCCCGGGCCGCGGCGCTCGGCGGGCGGGAGGAGGCAGGCCCGGGGGGGGCCAATCTCGGCGCCGCGGCCGTGACGGGCTCCGCCGCAAACCAATGCGGCACGGGCGGCGCGGCCCCGCCGCCTCCGCGGGCAGCCCCGAGCGGGAGGGAGGGGGCTTCGCTGGCGCGGAGGGGAGGGAGGGTGCGGGGGTGGGAGCGGAGCGGGGCTCCCCGGGGACACCCCGAGGGGCTCCGCTGCGGGAGGACCCCCCCCCCCCCGCACCCGCACCCTGCGCCCGCAGAGGGGCTGCCCCGCACCCGGGCCGGGGGGGGGGCAGCGGGGCTGGTGGGGGGCAGTGCCTCGGTCTCCCCCGCGACGCAGAGCTTGGAATTCCCACACAGGGGTCAGCTGCCAGCGGGCGGGTCCCCAGGGCACGAGCTTCTTTCTTAGTGCTCGTTCGCTCAGAAGGAAACTTTAAAATCCCTGGTTATTGGGTAAAATGGGCTCTAAAAGTGAGCCCACTGCTGGGATGCAGCTAGTGCTGCTCTGGAGACGTGGAACACCTGGTGGTGGTGCCAGCAGTGACCAGGGATGGATGGGAGCGCAGCCAGCAGGACTGCAGAGCTCTGCCCCTGGCCATGGGTGTCTCACTCCCATCTGTGGCCATCCCTGCCCCACTGAGGGGTTCAGCAGTGCTCCCACCACCACCCTGCTCCACGCACGCTGACAAATACCGGATCAGACACACACTGAGGTCCACGTTACCCTGCCTCATGTCTAACCGGTGGCACCACGGGCCCTCGCCCTGCTGTGCCCTCTTGGCTTTGCCTGGAGGCTCACGTTCATCCCTTCTGGCAGCCCCTGTCCTCCCTTCATGAGCCCCAGCCTCAGGCTCCAACTCTGCAGCTGACTCGTCCCTGTATTGTATCTGCTCCAATCTTGCTCATTCCCTGCTTCCCAGCCAGAAAGCCTGTTTACAAAGCCACATTCCTCTCCTTTCCCTGGGCAGCGCAGGCTCCCTTCCCACCAGTGCCCCCGTCTCAGGGGGCAGCATCCTCTCCTGCACCAGCAAACCTCTTCCCAGCTCCACTTTTCTGGACTCTCATACCCCTGACACACCATCCTCGCTATGGGGAGCCGCACCGTGGCGTGAGGGGCTGGGATCCTGGTGCTTTTCTTTGGGACCACACAATCCAGAGATTATCTCTGTGATGGGTAACAGGAGATGAGGCTTTCCCCCATCCCCAGTGGGCTGGATACTCTGGGTCTGCCCCTCAGGACACACCCCACAGCCACCCTGCTCTTGGAGGGACCGCAGAGGCTTGGTTATCTTGGTACAAAAGAAGCAATTAATCACAGTGTCCAATTAATGCTAAGGACTGAGTGGGAACAGGCTGTTGCAGGCAGTGGTGCTGCGGCAGTGGGGCAGGGATAGCGGGCGACATCCTGGAGAGGACGTTATTCCACTGGGAAAAATGGTGGCAGGGACTTGGCCTGTGTGGGCTGCCTGTGGGGAGCCTGGGTTGTGCAGCTCGCGGGAGGGTGGGCTGAGCCCGCACGTTGTTGGGAGGCGTGATGCAGAGCCCAGAACAACAACGGCGCTTTTCAAAAGAATGGGACCGGCTCCTGAACCATCTGGGCACTGTTACAAAGATGCTTGTATTCACTGAAGTAGCTGCGACTTCGCCACGGATCCCACTCAGCATAAATTGTTCATCTGCCTCACAGCTCCCTTCTGAACCAGCTGAACTGCTAGTGAAGAATGGGATCCTCGGCGCTGGCAGGTGCTGCTTTCATGGGGAACAGAGGCTCCGGAGCCAGCTGAGCGGCTTTAACCAAGAGCATTCATGGGCGGCTTTGTCAGGGAGCCCCTGCCCGTGCCATGCTCCGGTGTCCAGCAAGGGCTTTGCTGATGCTCCCGTTCTCAACACAGAAACTCCTCCTTTTACAGAGCGCCTTGGCAGGAGCCCCTTGACCGAGTCCATCTCCTCAGCTGCATCCTCAGAACAGGGAACGTCGCTGGAGCTGGAATCTGAGGGCATCTCTGCTTCTCTCTCAAGCTGCCTAAAAGGAAACCTAAAAGGTTTCCACTGAGCGTATCAAAGGCTGGGAGATGCCTTTATGAAACACTGTTCCCCAGCTCCCATTGCCAAGGACGCAGCTTTGACGAGTAATGTGCTTTTGTTTTCTTTTTAATAATGAACACAGCAAACCCCATCAATTCTCCCCATTTGGATTCTGTGCTACGGGCAGATTTCAGTTAAAAGATCCCAAGCACGGCTTTCCAAACGCACGTTTCAAGTGGACTCTTTGATGTATTTGTTTTCCAGCAGGTTAGGGGGTGTTTACTGAAAACCAAATACATCTGTAGTGAACAGCTAGTCACTGTCTTACTTTGCATTTACGTGGTGCAGTAATAGAAGGTGCACTGACAAAGTCAACGCTGCTCCAGCCTGGTGTGCCCAGGTGAGGTCTGGGAAGCACTCAGCTGTGTGAATATCCACTGTTGACAGGAGCAAAGGGGCAACAAGTGCCTTAAATTCAAAAGTAATGCTTTGCTTTCTGCCTCTCTCGGGTATTTCAGTGCACAGCCTTAAAGGACGACTGCTCAGCTTTGAGGTATGCCAGTGTTTGTAAGGAATAACTACTTGTTGTGCTCAAGATGACCAAAATATGCAGCTCTGCTGTATCTGGTGTTTCTTCTTTACATGCCTTCTGCATTTGCTTCATTGGGGGCCAGGAAATGAGGCTGTCAGTTCTGCTCTGCTTTTCAGCAGGTACCTGCGTCTGAAATGATAGAAAAGCAGCATTTCTTATCATCCGAGCTCCGGCACGAGCCCAGCACCATCCAGATGAGATGACAAAACGTGGCCCGAGCTCCCAGGGTTTGCCCGTCATGTAAATGGTCAATAGTACTGGCAGCGGGGTCTTACACTCCCAAATCAGCTGTAGCCAGTGCTGCTGTTCCCCCAGGTTGTCTGCGGTGGGAAGTGGGCATCGATTCAGCAGCTCTCAGGTGCTCACAGTTTTCTATACACTGATAAGAGATAGAAATCGAAGAGCAAATTCTCTATCATAGAATCATAGAGTAGTTGGGGTTGGAAAGGACCTTAAGATCATCCAGTTCCACCCCCCCTCCCATAATTACTGTTGCTCTTGAAAAGCTCTGGGGAAGACTTAGCCTGTTTTCAAATACCGGGATACCACAACCAGCACATCTGAGCTCCCTTCCTTTATTTGCTCTGCATTGGGAACAAATGCTTGTATATTCTTCACACCATGTTTTTCTACAACAATGAATGATTATAAACACTTTGGTAACCAGAGAGGGACCCATCACTGGCTTTAGGCCAGGATTTGAGCATGGCACGGTGCTTACAGACAGGAGGCTTTGCAGGGGATGCAGAGGAGGGAGTATTCCACCATCAGTTAATGTTTGTGGAGTGTGGAAGCCCTTCAGCTGCTGTTTGTACATCTTTCACTCTCAGCTGAACACCAGTGGCCATGGGAAACATTAGGTCCAGTGACTGAGTTACCTCCTCCAGCAAGATTAGGTCATAAATCCCAGTTCTTTCGTTAGCTGATATCCCACAGACACATCCCCTGCAGCGGTGGTGCTGGGCCTGGCTGGGAAGGGAGATGCCAAACCAACAAGAAACCTCTTGGCTCTTATTTCTGCCATGATTTCTCCCAGCACAGGGGGAAGGAGGGTAATGTGCTCCATACAAACCTTTCTGTGTGGCTTTGCTCCCTTTATTACTTCTATATACCCTCATGTTTTTTCTAGCAGCCCCATCTGATAAGAAGGGGCTGCGTCATCTCCCACCATGGTGCTGGAGGGTGTTTCACTGTGGGTCAGCTGCTGCAATGAGGATGAAGGAAGAAGGAGAAATGGGTCCGGTGTGCTGGGACCACCATCCCAGGCACAGCCCCAGCCTGGTTTGTGTTGGAAGGGACCTTAAAGCTCCTCCAGCTCCAACCCCTGCCACGGGCAGGGACCCCTTCCACTAGAGCAGCTTGCTCCAAGCCCCTGTGTCCAACCTGCCCTTGAGCACTGCCAGGGATGGGGCAGCCACAGCTTCTCTGGGCACCCTGTGCCAGCGCCTCAGCACCCTCACAGCTTCTTCCTCATCTCTCATCTAAACCTCCCCTGTAATAAAGAACTATATTAAAACATCTCGGCACCAAAGAAATCTCAACAGAAAAGCACGGAGCGTGACTCTTCAGGTCTGCGATTCGCAGGGAGCTGCTGCTTTGACTCCTTCCCTGCTGCAGAGCTCATCATAAGCACGTCAGGAAACGCTCTGCTCCAGGTTGGAGGCTCTCTGCTGCTGCCTGGCTAGAAGGGGCACGCAGGGGTTTCTCCTCTTTCTGAGTCACTGCTTTGGCAGACATTTACATCTCCAGTCCTTAACAGTGCAAATACAACTTCCAGTCTCCTTGGGTACTCGCAGAGGTAACGCTGAAAAGCGCTCTCGGCAGTTTTTTGCTAGCAAGATATGCTCTGGTTTATATTTAGGGAATACAAATAGGGAATAGTGCTGAATGCAGCCCAGCAATCCGTCTAAAATACTCCTGTAACTCTATTTACAGACTGCTCCTGCCAATGTTGTATCAGGCAGAGGGAAGGGTTTCTCTGTGCCTGTGTCTGGGGGCTCTACCATGAACCGGGGGATCCGTACGAACGTGGTACCGGGGTCACCAACACCCCCAGGGCAGTTTTGCCACGACCCGCCACTGCAATCCCACAGCTTGGGATTTCTTCTACGGCTCTCGAGATATTTAGTGGTATTTTTCTGGGAACCCCAGTTCTTGCTCCTGTACCTGACGGTAACCAGCGTCTGTCAGACTAAAACAACCCCTCGCTCCTGGCGGCAAAAGAAGGCTTGAACACGTGAGGCACATGGACCAGAGGGTGCTCAGCAGGGCCAGAAATCAGACAGCAGGAAAAGCAGCCCTGGAAGGGGCTC